CAGTAGTAAAATTATCCTCGGGGGGAAGCACTCTCTTGGCAAAGCAAATGGACTTTCCAAAAAATCCGTGTAAACCTTGTTACTCTTCATTGTCTGGCAAATTTATGAGGCATTTTTGATGCACTCTCTAGTTAGGGGCATCCCCACGGATGGTGCGCTCTCGGGGGATACACTTTTGTTTACACATAAGTACATCTGCGTTCTTAAGCAACTGCACATGTTTCATCGCATGTGTGCACACCACTTAGCGCCTGCCGCTTAGCCATTAGCGCCCTCCGCTCAATGCAGTCACCCCAAATGAGCCCCTCACAGAGCCCCCCCAAAACATCATACAGACAAATGCACACCTAAACATGAACGATCACATCAAGGTGTTTTTGCGCATTAAGCCTAACGTGGAAAATCTGTCCAAGTTAAAAAGCGAAGACTGTGCCATATACGAAGTTAACAATAACCAGTTGCACTTGTTTGAAAAAAAAAAAAGTTACAATGATACCAGCGAGCTCAAGACCAGGACGTTCAATTTCAATTACATTTTCGATGTCGACGTTCAGCAGAGTGATGTATTTGAGTTGATCGGGAAGAATCTGATTAACAACTTCATCAGTAAGTGCGCGTTCGCTTCTACTGCAGTGCGTTGCTCTTCTGTTGTATTAATTGGGCATATGTGGATACCTCCATTCGCTACACCTGTATTTAAGATGCTCCTTCTCACCGCTGTCTCACCCCCCTGCACAAGACGGGTACAACAGCTCTATCTTGGCATATGGAAACACCAACAGCGGGAAGACGTACACCCTCTATGGGGACAGGATCGACTCGGAGGACACGAAGAACCACGGACTCATTTACTTGTCGCTCAGCTACTTTTTCCAGTTGCAAAAAGTGAACAAGGCACGTTGAAAAAAGCACCAGCTCCGTCAAACCGCATGCGCATATGCATGGACTCATATCTATGATTGTTCAAACAAGTGCTGATGCCACTTCTTCCTCTGCCTATCCATTCCTTCCCTTTTGACTCCACTCAGAGCACTGAAATCTCCGTGTCCATAGTGGAGATATACCTCGAAAAAATCAGGGATTTGGGTAAGGTCCATTCTTTATCACATCTGCCCACATAAACCAATAAGGACCTATGCACGGAAAAACAGACATAAACACTGCCGCGAGAAAAATACACACTCATCAACCCTGCTGATTCGTTTTCTTCTATCCCCTTCCTCCTTCAGGAAAGATATTCCAACTGTCGCAGTTGGCCACGACCACCGATGAAACCATCAAGTATTACTCACAGTTTCGTGATAACATAATTAGAGAAGACGAAAAGGGGAATGTTAAAAGGAAAGAGATGAAAGGAAAAAAAAAAGAAAAAAAAAAAAAAGGAGAAAAAATTTGAAAGGAAATTAAAAAAAATTGAAAAAAAAAAAAAGAAATAAAAAAAAAAAGTCATTCCCTGTACCCCCCCCACTACAATTGCAGACGTATGTGGAAAACATCACGCTGCTGCCCATAGAGAACATTGAAGATGTAAGTGTAGGGTCCTCATTAAAATGAGTTCTAAATAGTTTTGTTATGTGGCACATGCACACATCCATGTAGTCATTTCCTCTTGAACGCACTTCCACCACCCCCTGTTCACCTTCCTCAGGTCAAGAATATTATAAACCTATGCTTTAAGTACAGGAAAACGCACGCCACCAGAAAAAATTTGGTATCCTCCAGATCTCATTGTCTGCTAACTGTTTACCAGCACCGAGTCGCCAAGTAAGGACGCCCCTAATGGCAGTTCCGAGGTGCACTTTTTTTCACCACTTTACGGAAGCATCTTTAACTGGGTGTACATTTTCATGCCAAAGCGATAACTGAACTTTGATGTGCACACCTCCCCTGCTTCCCCATCTTTCAGAGAAAAAGAGCTCATATCGCAGATAAACTACATCGATTTGGCTGGATCAGAAAAATTTAACGACATAGAGTTAGACTTACTGAAAAAGGAGAAAAAGGGTGCTCTTGTAAAGAAAGTCTCATTTGAATATGTAGCAACCCACGCACTTCTCCCCCCCGATAAATGTACGCCCGTTTTTTTTCCCCTGAAAGGATGGTCAACAAGAAGGAGCTCATAAACATCAACAACACCTTGTCTGTCCTGAACCGAGTAATAATTGCGCTAAGCACCCAAAACAAAATCGGGAAAAATCTGGACAAAGCAAAGACAACGGACGAATTAAAAAGTGAAGACTGTTGTGTTCCTACTGTGCACATTCCGTATAGGGACTCCAAGTTGACGAGATTACTGAAAGTACTGTCTTCAAAAAAAAAAAAAAAAAAAAAGGAAAACATTTTCTTAAAAGAAGGGGAAGTTGTCATTCGTGTCTCGTTAAGATCAGCGAATAATTCCTATTTGTAGCATCACCTTGGTGTAGTGCTGCTTCTCCTTTGCGATTTCCTTACCCCCCACAAGTGCACACGCCCCTTTTATCCTTCCCCATGCTTCCCCCCACACACTCTCCCTCAGAACAGTCTCAATGGGAACTCCTTCACATATATCCTGATCTGCCTAAACCTGAACAGCCACAAAATAGAAGACTTTATAAACAGCTTAATATTCGCAAAGAGGTGCAAAATGATAAAACAGAAAATAAAAAAAAATAAAGTAGCCAAATGTTCATCCCAGTCAGACAGAGCCAGAAGTAATTACTCTTCCGACGAAAACTCCTACGAAATTTTCGATTCCAATGGTGAAAATTATCATTTCTTAGCTCAAGAAAATAAAAACAGTGACCTGTACCATTTGGATGCAGTCGCTTACAACAAAAGAAGGAACAAATACAGAGCACCAAATAACAAATCTGATGCAATGATGAACAAACTGCTACTCCTATTCACTCACATCATTAAAAAGAAATACAATGACTTAGTTAAACAGAAAAATTCTGTAGCAAACAATTTAATGAAAATGATAAAATTTGAGCAAAACAACCAGGAAGAGTTGCTCAGAAATAAAAATTATTTCAAAAAAATTTTGAAAAAAAAAAAAAAAGAATTACTCATAAACAAGGAGCATTTAAATCGTCTTATTCATGCAAAGGGAGTTAAAGCAATAAACCTGAGAGAGTATTCTCAGGGTGAACTTCCTAGACACAAACATGTCCTAGCGGAGATAACAGGTCAGCTCAGTTTAAATGTTCCCGATGGGTTACATTCCACGGAGATTCAGGGCGGGGAACAATATACTTCCCTTGTTGTCCAAGAGGAAGAACAAAATTTTGTGAACGAAGGGGGAAGTACCACCCCCCTATGCCCTAGCGACGTGGGACAAAGTAGTCCTAACGAAATTAATAAAAATGAACACATGGCTACACTCGACATGGATACGTCGACCGTGTTGTCTGCCACTTCCATTCCTTCCCCTACCGATGATAATCCGACCAAATGCACAAATGACATAAAACGAACGCAGGCAGATATCGATGAGCTATTCCAAATGGAGTTAAATAAACTGAGTGAAAAAATAAAAATGCTAATCAAATTAAATTTTCAAAATATCTCCCTATTTACAAACATTGACACGTTAGCAAATATTCTTCAAAATGTGTACCAAAAAAAATACAGCGTCGTGCTGAGGAACGGGAAAAAAACGCTCAACATTACAAATTACAATTATGATGAATTTAAAAAATCGTGCGAATTTTCCCCCCCACCACAGTCAGAGTTGGGTGATCATACGGGCGAGGACGACGCGCGTTTAAAAGGGCTCGATCGGGACATAGTTTCCCTGTATCGAAGAATAAACGGAAAAAAAGTGGCACACGGGGAGGTAGGCACCTAGCCAAACAAAAGAGAGAAAAGGAAAAGCCATTTAAATTGCATAACATCAGTTGCCCTTCCAACGTTATACTCTCTTCACCACGCGATGAATCCCATTTGGCTACTCCCAATGTATCTTCCCCAATTGGGCATTTCCTCCTTATTAAACTTTAACTACCTTTTCATTTTTAATCAACATTACTACTCCCTTTTGAAATATTCGCACACCACTTTGTCTAATTTTTCCCATGCACATGATTGGCAATAGGAATTGCACACGGGGAATTTTTTTTTTCTTTTTTTTTTTTTTTTTTTTTTTTTTTTTTTTTTTTTTTTTTTTTTTTTTTTTTTTTTTTTTTTTTTGCTTCCTTCAACGAGTCTATCCGTTTAATCCCCCCAGTTGGCGCGCATGACCGACCTCCTTGCATGAGGTTGAAAAGTTGTAGTCAAGTTCAAATGTCGAGGGGGTGAGAGAAGTTAATAAAAGTGTTTACAAAAAAGTGTATCACATTGCGTTGTCTTAAAATGAGAGGAAAAAAGGTGCACGCGAGGGGTAAGCGTATACCCATACACATGCACGCGCAAGAACCATCTTCTTCCATCCTATTCAAAAAGGACCACACGTGGCCGAGACAAAATAAAACAAAACAAAAAGGCATCAAAAGGAGAAACTCCAAACGGGGGAGAAACAAACCGCACGAGTTACCTCTTCCATGCGAGTTGCCTACCATCCGCATCTTCCCCCATTGGCTTCACTCCACTTTGTCACTCTTTAAATCAATCAATAGACACATCAGTATCGTTAACAAACAAAAATTAAAAAGAATAAAATAAAAGAAAAAATAAAAGAAAAAACATGTAAGGTGCACATATGCACACTTCCGCATGGATATATTCATAAAAAATTAAAACCTGTTGGCGTAATATTTTCTCACTCAAATTTTAATACATGTGATTTATATTGTTTTCAAACATTTCGTTCGGGTTTCTATACATAGTGTTCATCAAATGGTCGGTGTCCCTCGTGAGGATGACATTGTCTGCCCCTTTTCCCATAATTGCATTGTTGTTCATGTTAACGTCGCTTAGGCTCTTCTTCATTGTGGTGTTTTCCTCAAGCGAGGGCTTCGGATCTTCACATTTCTTCTCTTGGCAGTTGTTGGAGTTGTTCATTCCTTTGAGCTGTAAGGAGGTAGTTTTTTTTTTATTTTTTTTCTATCAGAATTTCGCCTCTAGAGGGTTTTTTCTGCAACGTTTTGCGCCAAGACGATAGCTTTCGCCACTTTTTGCTCCAAGAAGGTATGTATTTCTCCTCCAACATCTGTCGCTCGGCGCTCATTTTGGTCATTTGGCGATTTTTCCCTTTTGGTCAGGTCTCTCCCTTACTTGCTTCCACTTGGTGAGGTACTCATAAAGAGGTTCAACGTAGTCGTTAAATCCTAAGAGGGGCGGCGATGAAGGGCGGTGTGGCGAATGCAGAGAGGTGCCTCCACACAAATTGGTCTACACATCCTGGTGAAGAAGTAACCGCATATGCTTGTGTGGGTGCGGCTAAAAAGAAGACCGTCACGGCAACGTTGCGATAAATCCGCGCTGCAACTTCGCTGCAACTTCGCTGTAGCTTCACCAAAACTACGCAGTGGAGGCCTACCCAACTTCTCCATGGAAAACAAGATGTCCTCATCGCTGATGGTCTTTCTCCTCTCCCTCAGGCACCTGTCGCTGGCCTGTCAAAAAGAAATAAAATAAAAAAGAATAAAGTATAAAAATAAAGTAAAATAAAGTATAAAAATAAAGTAAAATAAAGTTTAAAAAAAAAATATATAATCTCTTCACCCGCGTTGAAGCAAATTCAGACCGCTTCTCCACGCATGTGTCTGCCCGCAGCTCATCCTTACCTCGCTGGTCAGGAACTGTATAAACTCCGTGACGCATTCTCGTATTATGTCTTTACTTTCCTTGGCCACCTTAGCAGATGCTGGCAAAATTCTTTTCATAATTCTGCTTATATTCGCTATTGGCAATAATGTCTCACTGTCCGGTTTAATCTTCTTCTTGTCATTTACATCAAATTGAGTGGAGTCTTTTTTCTCCGTGTTATCATCACTAGAATTCTTGCAATCATCGGACAGGTTATTATTTTCATTTTCCATATCTGCATCTTCATCACAGTTATCCTTCACACTCTTGGCTGACACTTGAATGTGCTGCGAATAACCATTTGCGTTATTCTCAGTTTCGACGTCATTAACATTATGGATTCTATTTGCTTTACAATTCGGATCTGAATCATCAACATTGGGTTGTGGCTGAGTTGGTACATATGCACCGTTAGTGTCCACATTCTCCTGGACAACTTTTTCCACTACATTTGATATCTCAAATGTTCTATGATTGGTAAAGGACTTTCCATTGTCATATGAGGAATCATTATTCATGTTATCTCTGTTCACGAAAATAACCCCCCCAAGGTTCTCCTTCGAATAACTTACAAAATTTCCCCCCGGGTTGTTTTGATTCTCTTGTTGGGGGTTAACATATTGTTGACCTTTGTCACAACTTTCGTAGCTTGTCTTTTCTTCCTTCTGTTCCTCATATGATTCTTCAGGTGCATGTTCGATGAAAGTTTTATTTGGATTCTCCCTAGGGGATGCATAAGAGGATGCATAGGGAGGTCCATAGGAAGGTCCATAGAGCGATACATTCAGACTGTTTAATTTTCTTTCCTTGTTCATTTCCTCGTTGGTGAAACTATCTCTTCGTCTTTTATTATTATTGGCCACTGTGTGGTAGGCACTTTCCATTTGGACATTGTCCGATTCAATTTGGGGGTGTTCCTTTTCGTTTTTCACTTCACTGTCAGCCTCCACCAATTCGTATTCATTTGCGTTTTCATTTACCGTGCTATTCATTGTGTCATCCATGGTGTTGCTTGCCTTGATGTAGGCGTACTGACTGTCCCTGTTATCCTTCTCGTCTGTGTTGTTCAACTTTGTCACTTCGAATTCGTTTAGGTTGTCCTTACTCCTCACGAGTTCGGCACTTGGGCCTTCCATTCCTTTCTGCTCCTGCTTGGTGGTACCATCCTCACCGTCGTCATGACCGCTGCCATTGACGCTCCCCCCCCTGCTGCCCTTCTTCGGGGGGATATTCACACTAGTCACGTTCGAATCGTACACTCTCACGTTCCCTGCATCATCGCTGGAGGATTTCATCCGCGTCACGCTCAAATCGTTTTCCACCTTCACCGGAGCAGCAACACTGATGCCATTGTAAAACTCTTTTTCATTACTTCTTTCGCTCGGAATGGCACTACGCATAGTTTCCTTCACCAGCACATCTTCGCCAGTCTTCTCCCCATAATTTTCTCCATTCTCTGTTCCCTTTTCATCTGCGAAATTTTTCAAGCTCTTCTCATGAACTACTTTTTCTTCACTGGTTCGGAGCTCTTTTCCCGTTTCCACTCCGACATATTCGAGATGGCCATTTCCGACGCCCTCATTTGATTTATCTATCTCCACAAGGGAGATGGTTGCCTTATTTGGACCTTCGTTCTGGTCACCACTATCACTTTCCACAGTGCCCTCCTTTCCAGTTGTGCCTCCCCTGTCGTCATTTTCGGCACCAGTAGGAGGAGGACTTCCCTCATTCGACCGCTTCCCCTTTATGCGTTCACTTTCTTTATCCACAGCAGCTATGTCTATGTTTGCTTTGCCTTGTTGGCCCCCCGCGCTGGAGCCCTCCTTGTCGTTTTTGTGACCGTACCACGTAACATCATCTAGAGCTTCTTTTTCATTGCCATCTTTATCTGCACCTCGTGGATCGTTTGCACAGGGGGTGCCACTGAGACTTGCGTTATTGCCGTCTCCGTATAACCCACTATTGTTACTGCGATCATGGGGCACTTGTGTCTCTGTTGGATTCTCTTTGGCAATGATTCCTGTTGGACCATTTGTGTTAACCACATTCGATTCGAAATTTTGGAGACTTTTTTTTTCACCTTTTTCATTTCTGTGGGAGAAGAGTGTGTCTGAAATTGGCTGCTCAGACTTGTCTACACTTTTCTGTGTTTCAGAATTTTTGTAGTGACTTTGGTCGTCTTCGTAATCCAGGGTGTTTTGAGGAGTAACGGGGGGGATGGCTGCGCACGATGCGTCGTGATAGTCCTTCTGGGTCTCACTTCTGCTCTCACTTTCGCCCTCATTTCTGGCCCCCCCCCGGTCGAGGCGATTCCCGTCCCGCATTCCCAACGGTAAGCCCTGTTGATCGTAAAAATTTATATCCGATTCTACTGCATCAAAAGGGGAGTCGACCCCTCTACATCCACTCAGGTCCTGCTCATCATCTTTCTCTCTTTTATCAAAATGGAGGTACTCCTTCCCACCTTCCCTCATCTCTTTATACTGCATTTTTCCATAATCCTGATTTGAAACTGATTCATCATAAACGTAACCAAGTTGGGCACTGAGGTAGGTATGTCTTCCCTCCCCATCCATATTGGACTCCTTCAATGTGTGGGAAGAACCCGCTTTAATGTTCTCTCTATGGACTTCATTAGCTTCGAAACTTCTGCTGCCGCTTCTGATATCACCCACCTTCTCGGTGTCGTCACTGTTTAGCTTATTTTCTGTGTTTAAATTGTCGGCACTTTTAAAACTTCCACTGTGATTACTGTCTACCCGTTCGTGTCCCTCTATTATCAGCAGATTCGTATCCACCAAATCATTCTCAGGAGAACCATTTTCCAAACAACTCATATTTTTACTTTTCAGGATTTTCGAAATGATTTGTATTTCCGGGTTAACCAAAACTTCATTATCGTATCCATATTCGTATTCCTCGTTCAGGTTAATTTCACTTTCTATTGTGGATGCTAGCTTGTTAAAACTGCTGTCTACATCAAAGCTTCGGCTCTTCACATCATCCGAATCGTAGCCCCTACTCCTGTTTTCCTTACCTATGTAATCGTATCGAACTCCGATCATGTTTGAATCATCCTTATCGTCTTTCACCTCCGTTTTAATGCATGGATCTCCATTGGGGGCATTTCGTGAATGGTCATAAATTTCCTCATTCTTCATTTTTTCTGCTTCAGAAATGGGGTGCATTCATGCATGAGAAGAATGACTACTTCTGGAGGGGCCACTTGCCATGTCTCTTCTTCTGGCGCGTCCTATTCCCCCACTGCTGCTACTGATTCGTCAGGGGGCAAGAACGCAAAAAAAAAAAAAAAAAAAAAAAAAAGCGATCAAACAATGCTGATGGTGTTGTGCGTTTACGTAAAAATAGATAATAGAAAAAACTCCGAGGAGGAATCTCACGGAGGGAGGGTAATATAAACAGAGGAAAAGAAACAACATTACACAAATGTGCGTACATATATCGTAACTCACACATACGTGCTCGCACCGGGGGGGGGGAAGAAATTAATAAAGAAAGAGGTGTGAAAATGTACGTCCCTTAGGACCACAAAAATCCGTTCAGGGAGTCACTCATGGAGATGGGAAAAAATAAAAATCATCCTGCAAAAAGAAGGAAAGAACAGAAAACGGTGTCTATCTCTCGGCAGTCCCTTCTGAGCAATTCTGCTGGCTCATGTCTTTGCCTATTTTTTGGCACATGCTCTGCGTCCAACTTGATGGTCTACTTGGTTGGCCCAGTTGGTGATTCACTCCTTGGCTACTCCCCAGCTCCTTCGCTACTATCATCCTGCTATTTAGCCACAATTTAGCTGCTCTGCCAAGCCGTTTCTTTGGGGGGGCCTAGCTTTTTTCTTACTTGCGTTTTTTCCCCTGAAGCTCCTTTATCTATTTATCCGCTTACCCCCTTATCCTGCGCTCCTTCGACTGACTTTCTTCACAATTTCCACTTCGCCCGTTTTGACTTTTCCTTTTCTTCCTCTTCCCACTTCCTCCTTTCTTCCTCTTTCTCCCTTCCTGCGTTTTTTTTTTTTTTTTTTTTTTCTTACTCCTTTTCGAATGCAAAATCCGCGTCACAAAACAGAACAAATGATTTCTTCATGGCAAATATTTGTGCACATGAATGTTCATTTCCTTTTCCTTTATTTTCCAACCAAAGGTAAAATACGACAGAAAATGAAAATTAATCGCAGGCACAGAAAATATATTTACAAATGTGTGCTCGAGTACACATGTATACGCTGTCAACTACGTGGAAGTGATGTGTACGCAAATAAGCGAACGGGGATGCAAAGGAGAATGCCGATGCTATTGCAAACGTACGCTTGGGGGTAGGCAAATGTATATTACACCCCTGCGCATCATCGAGGTTCAAAATTATTCACATGTTCCCTTTATTTTTGCTTTTTTTCTTCATATCTACATTTCTTCTGTACCGCCTGCGTTTACGTGCCCGGGATGGATGCCAGTCTCATATGTACGGAGGTAATTTTGTACATGTACGGATGTATCGAACTGTATATATATATATATTTATGTATATATAAATACGTACATGTACTTTTTTTTTTTTTGACGGCAAACGTATGGCAATTTTCATTCCGGCCTGTTTGTCATCCCTTTTTTTTTCTCTTACTCAAGATGGAGATCTGGATTCACGCATGGGGTGTCCTGTATAATATCACCAAAGGGATCAAATGTGTTTGATTCAGCAAATCAGTCAGTTATTGTTTGTTTTTTTCTTTCCTTTTTTTTCTTCCTCCGGCCTTTCCTTTTTTCCCTCCGCGCAACCTTTTTTCCACCTTTCGCGCTACAACTCTGTTGAGATGGTTCTTTGCACAAATCGACGCAGAAGACGATTGAGTAGGTGTCCACCCTTCTACGCGTTCGCCTGCTACGAGTGAAGTGACCGCGAAGTGATTGCGAAGTGCTTGGGTCAGTTTTCATTGGTTCCGCGCGTCCCATGTAGAAGCCCCCGTGATGGACCGCCCCTGACCAACGCCACAGTGGGCGTCAAAATTGAACAATTCGGAAATGCGCCTACAGGCAGTCAAACCGCTTGGGACAGTGTTAAGAGCAACATCTCACCCCCTCCTTCGCGGAGGACACTTTTAAAGGAACAGACGAATGACTTTTTCTATGTAGACATTTGCAGCATGCAGCTGTTTTATAATCGAACGGGAAACCCACTGCTACAAATAAAAGGACAAACTGCTAATTTGTAGACGCGCGCTTCCTTTGCACCTTTTCTTTTTTTTTTTTTTTCTTCTTTGCTCCCAACCCTACACTAGTTATATTAAGAAGCGGAAACAAAAAGGAGAATTGAAAAGTCTGCAGAGTTCCTACATCGGAGGCAGGGGCACAACCCCTGTTAAAGATGTACCGACAACACATAGATATATGCCCACCCGGTGTGTCTTACTCCAAGGATCCTTTACCATATGAGCAGAGTATGGGTAAAGGGAAAGGACGCCAAGGATAAAAAAAAAAAAAAAAAAAATCACATTTTCTCTTACTCCACCTTTTGTTCACCCGTCTGTGGTTTCTACATATTAAAATTTGTCTTCCCATTCGGTGGGTTACTGGGAAGGTTTTTTTCTAGTGAGCCCCGCGGCGCCTTGCCTGTCTATCCGGTTTCCATTGAACTTCTGCAGGTCAATATCCTTTGTGTTTGCCTCCAGAATTTGCTTAATCTCCTTGTACGATATATCTTTGAAATGCAGATAATTGTCCATGTAGAGGTGGTGCAGTGCCTTGAAGTTGTTCAGATTACTCAGCTGACTCATAGGCATGGTGCTGTTGTTGTTTATTTTAAGATACTTTATATTGGGAGCGATTTCACTAAATTCTATATTCTCGATAGGGTTGGATGACAAGTCTATGGACTCCAAATTGGCTAGCTGATTTTTAACAGCTAATGTTTTTATGTTGTTATTTGAGAGGTTTAATTTTTTTACACTACTAGACAGACTGATGTTTATACTTTCTATGTTATTGTGAGACAAATCGAGTTCTATTAAGTTTTGCATTTTTATGTCTTCCACTTTTTTAATTAAATTGTGAGATAAATTCATGTAGACACAATTTTTTAAGCAATTGCTTTCCAGTTTTTTTATCGTCCTGATCATATTGTTAGACATATCTAAAAAAACGACGTTTCTCAGACTGTACAGCTTGTCTATATCTTCGATTTTGTTATGAGACATGTTTATATACTTGAGGTGTTTATATTTTTCTAGTTCCTTTGGGATGTACTTCAAATTTTTATTTTTACAGGTCAAATTGCTGAAGGCGTACCCGTCTCCGCTCAGCGTTTTTTCTAACTGCGTCAAGCCGTCCTTGATGTGAAACAGGGCATCTTCGTTACTCCTGCTGGAATTTTCCTTTTCCATTGGTTTATTCTCCGCGGAGGGAATGTCCTCTCCATGTGTATCATTCGTAACACCATTTTGTGCGTTGCTCCCCTTTACACCCCCCTCAAGTTCGCTATTTTCTTCATCAACCTTGCTACATGCCTTGGTCGCATCTCCCCTGCTGCTGCTGTTACGTTTGAGCGCATCAGGTGCACCATTAGCATTGACTACATTACTTGCGCTGCTCATTTTTCGCTCACCCCAAATGGGAACCTAGTTGGACGCACGAATATGTCCCTAAAGGTTTCCTCAAAATGACTGACCCTTTTTTTATCTTCACACTCTTTCGTTTTGCCGCAGGCCATCCGTTTTTTTTTTCAAAAATTGTATTATTTTTATTTTATTCTATTTGTCTTTTTCTTTTTTCATTTTTGCTGATTTTATTTTATGTATTTTTTTTTTCTCTTTTTCTCTCCCCTGCAAAGCAGCAATATCGTGGCAGTTAAAAAAAAAGAGAGAAAACGGAAAGATGGGGAAATCCTTGCCCCGTTTTTTCGCCAATGGCAATTTTGTATAGAACCCACCCTCCGCCCAAGTACCTACTTCACACTACGTGCAGATATTGAAATATTCCCCTCTACATGCACACGGGTTGGTACCCCTCACCACTCATGGAACGAACCGATCACATTTTTCCGCGCGTTCTTATTCTTTCATCAAATCTTAAGATGAATTTTGCTCTGTAATGATCTCCACCTAAAATCCCGATGTTATGGGCGTTCATCATTCAAACACGGGCCCGGATGTATAGGCAATTTTTTTTTTTTTTCTTTTCCAACTTCGAAACAGTAAAAAGGTTAGAGGTATTTCTTCCTTCCAAATATTCCTAACATCATCGGCGAAACATGAACAAATACGAGTGAGATAATTTTATCGAATATGCAATTTTTTTCCATTTCACGTTAGTTCTCCAATTTTTTTTTTTTTTTAATTCTCCACATTGTAATGATATTCCCGCACATCACCTCAACCATACCTGTGCAGGGGTGCTTATGAATGCACATAGGTACACACACTTTCGCAATTTTACAAACATGGACAAAGCGAGTAAACCAAATGAATGGAACATCTTCTCCCAGTAAGGCGAGAAAAAGAGGGGGTACTATCCTACATATGTATTGTGTCTAATTTGAAGAAGATTTTAAGTTTAGCATCCCACAGGGGGGGGTTACATGCTCACGTTAGAAATACATTTGGGCGTATTCCCCTAATCAATTTTTTATTTTTTTTTCCCTTGTGTTCACTCTTGTTCTGTTTTATTCTGTTTCTTCGTCTCCCTTTCATGTAGAAATAAGCACACACATGTATGTTCTCCCTCCGATTTACAAGCATGCGTATGTCTCATCAAAGAAGGTCTCATTTTTATTCTCTTTTAATTTAACAAATTAGGCAATTTTTCTTTTTTTTTGTTTTAACCTGAAAAAAGGTGCACCCTACTGTAGCACATACCCTCGAAAAAAAAAAAAAAAAAAAACTTTCAAAATTGTGGGCAAATTTTTTATAAAAAAAAATTTTACCTCTTCATTTTGCACAAAAAGTTCTATATATCTGAGCAGCTTAGGACAAAAATGCAAACATAAGACATTAATGCTTAAAGCCTACAGGTAGAGAGGCCCATTTCTGGCTTGCAGTTTGACTTAACTTCCCCCTGGCTTATGTTTACACCTGTTCCCATTTTGTCCTTTCCGCAGGACGAACTGCAGCAGAAATCGTTGCAGTCAATGTACACGCAATTGTAAAAAGTAACTCTGTCCATGTACAAATGAAAAGGGGAAAAAAAAAATATACACATTTGGCAAGCTGAACAATCGCATCGTATTGCCATCACGGGATAGACCTAATCTGAATGTACACACATTCGCATGTTAGTACTTGCATTGTCACATTTCCGTGGCCATAATTTTTGTAAAATTTCCCCTGGAAGGCTCACACCTTGTAATGCCTACCACTGCACACACGCATACATACACTTTCTATATGCACGCATTCACCGCATGTGTGTGCGCGACTTCTCCTTTTCTTTACCCCCCAATTGCACTCATCCTTCCGTTAAAAATGGCAACCGCGAACATGCGTAGGAATACACTGGAGTATGCAACCATGAGCTATCTCCCAAATCTATTTATCCTCACTTGTAAAAAAATGAGTAACATTATCGACACTAGTGCGACTTTCCTGCATAATTTTTTAATTCAAGTGAAGAACTTTGCTTCGAGACAATCATTGCGCTTTCACGTCGTAATATATAATATCCTCCTCATTGTATTTCTATTATTTTTGCTAATAAAATGCAGGAATAAATGTAGACGCACCAAAGGGCGAGACCCCTCCTTACGAGTTGCTTACGAGCAGGTGGATGCACTCCCCACGGAGGGAAGTAGCAAAGAGGGGGGACAAAGCCAAAGCAGGGGGGTAAGTAAAAGACAGGGTGGAAGCCAAAGCAGGGGAGAAAGCAACAGAAGGGGGGGGAGCAAAACCAGAGATGGAAACCAAAGCAGGGGTGGAAGCCAAAGCAGGAGTAGAAACCAAAGCAAGAGTCGAAACAAGAGCAGGAGCGGGAGCAAACGGAAGGCACAAATCACAAATAAGAGTCGCGCAACAATCAAGGGGCGAGCCAGAAGCAGAACACCAAACACTAGTAAAGGGAGAAACGCAAGCAAAGAGAAAAAACCTCCAAAGAGCAACCCCAATAGAAGTAGCCACTTCGAAGAAGAGAAAAACGTGGCGAGCAGACTAAGCAGCTTAAGGTCCAGAGCGAGAAATCAAAATAATGTCCAACGAGAAAACTCCCCTATAAATACAAAACCAAGCAGAAGAACAGGAATAGAAATGACACATAGGAATAAGATGGTGACATCCAATTCGTTAGGCAACGTGTCTCTGCCTTATGTTGATATATCCAATGCTCACTTGAATTTAAAAGAAAAGGAAAAAAAAAAGAAAGCCACATTGAAAGAAAAAAAAAAAAATTAGTTCTACTAAGGAGGGGAATACACATAATAACTGCAGAAAAAACTGAGTAAGATAATCCATCCTATGCTCCAAAAAAAAAAAAGAAAAGGGCTCGCTTAAAAATGTTTTGCTTTTTTGCAAATAAGAAACTCCCACGCACACTGTTGTTGTGTGTTCTTTTTTTTTCTTTCCTCTTCTAAGTATGCGCCTTTTTTGACGGGACAACGGAACTCACTACGTACTCGAGCTCTATCCTTAAGCGTATGTACTGTTGGCAGTTTTTTTCAATCCACCAATTCGTCTCTTTCCATTTTTCATTATATAGGCACCCCCCTCGGCATGCACACTTTACTGTAGCACCACGCAACGGAAAAAGAAAAAATGCACACTCCTTATGTGTTCCCGAAGAGGTTAATTAAAAAAGGAAACCCCTCGACACTTTTCTAATTTGTCACACCTTGACGTCTCTCCCTCCAAATGGGTATCCAATGCCACAACCCTTTTTGCACCTTTCAGCTCATATTTTTTTGTATGTTCTGAGGGAGTGTTCCCTTTATAATTTTCGCCCCTCAATTTTTTTTTTCTTTTTTGGTTCTGCCTCTGGGGAAGCACACGTACAACGTTTGTTTGAGTGTTCATTTATTTTTCTATTCTCCGCTCCACATATTTTTGTCATTAAGGGCTTACACGGATGTGCGTGTGGCCCATGCATGCAGGGGTGTGTGATAAGTGTGTAAATGTTTTTTCTAAGGTATAACTGTTTTATTCTAAATATGCTTCTTATTTTTTTTCTAAACTAATCCTCCTGTTTTTTTTTTTTGTGTTCATGTTAATGTTACCACTATTCATCTTCATTTTGGTAATCATTTTCTTTTCCTCACAATTTGCCTTTTGCCAATTTTTTTTTCCCTCCTCCTTTCGGCTATTTTTGCTTTCCTGTTTTTGTTTATATACATTTTTTTTTTTCTTTTGACCCATCTATCGCTAACAACACATGCACATGTTTATTTTACAACCCTCTGGCTAACAAATCGCTTTTTGCCGCATCCTTCTACCGCGTTACTTCAGTTTAAGAAAATGCTTAAATGGAAGAGCTTCCTTTTCTTGCTTCCTTTCCCGTTCAGTAGAAACTCCCCCCACTTGGCAGTAATGCTAATCTAAATCCCGTGGCAGCAGGTTCATATGAAAAATACAACAAAATTCCCGCCCACAAAATGGCAACCCTCTAAACGGTAAGGTGCACTCACAGGGCAATTTTAAATGTGCCTATATTGAGCTAACTCTAATTTTTTTACCAACCTTCCTGCATTCGCCAACGTGACATATGACAAAAATTGCTTTCCATGCAGACGGTATAAAGAGCCCTTGGCATCGCCTCCATTAAAACAGCCATGTGGAATGACTGCATGTGGTACCTGGCTTCACCCCCATTTTACGTCCTCCTAAAGTAATCATATAACGGGAGAAGAAGCCAATCTACAAACTTTGTGTAGCGGAAGAACGGGGGCAAGTTAGGAAGCCCACCTTAAATGCGTAAAAAAAGGAAAAAGCAATTTCCCCGTTATGCAATGGTCCCACATGCAATATGTGTCCACACCAAGTTGCTACCTTGACGTAAATTTCGTTTCAGCCGAGTTCCATCCAGTTTGAGTTTCTGGCGAAAATTTCGAAAGGAGGAAATTATAACAATTGTGTATTCAGCTGCTCACAAAAAAATACAATCTTAAGTATAAACTTACGCGTGGGTACGTATGCTGAAACAGCCTGGCTGAGCCCCAATTGCTCGCGGTCCACCAAATATCCTTGTGTGCAGATGCCACTCCATGGGAATGACACCCCGCCAATGATGTGCTTCCCATTCCAGACCATTACTTCGCTTCAGACATACCATCATTAATTCATCCCCCAAAGAATGAAAGAGGAGCTTCTAGAGACCGACGATCTAGCGGAATATAAAGAAGCCCACAAAAAAAACTACGAACAAAGACTCATAAGGGAAAAGGAACTCTTAGAGAAGGAACTCCTGAAAAAGGAACAAGCTTATAAGCAGCTGAAAATTGAAAGAGACAGGGAATACTCAATTCAATATTACCACGAAATAAATAGTCTACATCGAGTAAACACCGTTAGCACCGATGATGGATCACCTATGCTGAGCAACTACACAGAGAGGTTAATAAGTTCTTCTCATTACACGTACATGTCGGATGGCGCACCACGTGGCATCTTGGACGATGACTCAAGGGTGTCCTTTTCTCGAAGGATGCAGGATTTCTTTCCGAGCAGGTAAATTCTTGCGCGTCGCTTTGGGCGTGATCGGCGTCAGCGCTGTTAGCGGCGTCGCCGGATATCCCGGCATAATTTGCATCTCCTCCCCATGGCGATATCCATTCGCGCACTACACATGGGCGCAGTATATCGGTGCAACGTACACACCCACATGTTTGTGCTCGCCCTTTCTTTTCTTCCCTCTTCCCAGTGACATGAGGCCATACTTTCGATGCAGCAGAGTTCAAATCGTTTTCAACGTGATTCTCTTCATTATGGTTATTACGTTTATTGTTACTTTCGCCTTCTTATGAGTGGCCAAAAAAAAGTTGGCTTCTTCCTTCGGACCGGATTTAAAAAACTCTTTTCTTTCATTTTTTTAGATCCCCCTTCTATATTTCCCCGTTGTTTATCATTTTTTCCACCATACGACTACTGTTCCTTCCTGCATTTCTTTTTCTTTTTTTATACATGATAACATCAGATGGCATCACATGTATGTCCCCTTTAACGCAAAATGAATGACAAAATTTTTTTAAATGATGATGAGGAGGAGGAAAAAGTGCTGTATATACACCTTAGGTGACTCCTCTTGTTATTTTTTCTTTTTTTTTCAATTTAAAATGGAAAAAATGCAACTCCAAAAATGGTTTCCTTGGCGGTGATACCAATCCGGAAAGGCCAAAAAAGATAAAAATAACGCAAGGCAATGCGAAAGAGATGTAAAAGAGCACACAGACGCAGACACAGATAGACCGACACAACCGCACAACACCACACACACCTGTAAACATTAAGCCACCCATCCCTCTGCCGTCAAGTAGCTTTTCGAACTCCACCAAATTCTGGCCCTTAAAACACCGTCCACCCTATTTAATAAGACACAAAAAAATGCATTTCATCAACTTTGCCACGTTTTTTGCCTTTCTAATTGCGGCTTACACCTTTTGCGCAGCGGAAAATGACCCGTCCTTTTGCAAAAAAACACACAGGGGAATCCTCAAGTACCATAAGAAGAAGGTACAAAACAGAGCCTCGCTAACAAGTGCCGCTAAAATGAGGCGACCACATATGGCATGATAGGCTGGTACATATGTATACTTAGACGTCCAAATTCGTGGGCCCTTCATTTCATACCCCCCTCCGATGCAGGACGAACAGGAGTACTTCATCGTATCTGCAGTTTTGAAAAATGACACGCTCGGCTTCTACAGGTGTGTATTATCGATAAGGACGCATCTCCATGGGGCCACACCACCACGCGACCATGTGCCCATTGGACACGCCGACGCTATGCTTGTTTATGTTGTCCGAATGTGAAGCCCCTCTCACCACTGTTGTCCCTCCCACCACTTTTGCTCCTTTCACCAACATTGCTACTACTTCCCTTCTCCGTTAGAGGCTCCACCATTTACGACATCATAGACTTAACCGAAGTTGTAACTCCGCTGTCCATTTTTTCAACCAGCCCTGAGTGCATGACCGTTAATATGGGTATGTAAAAAAAATTAAAAAAGGAAAAAAGCAGCGCAAGTAGCAGACGTCTGTGCTGCAAAGTACAAATGAAGTTAGTGCTGCTCCTCCTTTGTAGTTGCCGAAATTATGTTGCCGATTCAGTCGTGTTCGTCAAATGAGGAGAATTCCTTCCACAATCATTTTCACCCCCTCTGCATTATATGCACCTGCCCAAACAACAATTTGCCAATTTTACCTTTTCTTAGTTAACAAAGAGGCCGTAGTTCTATGGTTAGCCAATCGAGGCACTTCTAACTTTTTCTCCCCCTCACACTTCCTCCATCTGTTCCACTTATTTAATAAAAGAAGTGGGAAGACAAAGAAGAAGCATCTTTTTAACTAATCATGACCAATTATCATTCTCTTTTTTTTTTTTTTTTCATTTCTTCCCCCCCTCCGCTTCCATCCAGCTGCAACACAGAGGAGTGCATAAATAACTGGGTAAAAAACTGCACACACGAAAAAAGAAAAAAAAAACGTACACAGGATAGACGATCCGCACGTAGTTCCCTTTCTTTCAAAAACTAATTTGCGCAATTTCTTTTCTCCCCCCTAGTGGCTATTCCTGACGAAGCAAATACTCTGCCTCAATACGGGCGAGATGCGGAACGAGACGGACGAAAAGACGTTGGAGGACGTTCAATACAACGTAGCACTGAAAAAGGAAGAATAAAAATTACATAAAAGGGGGAAAAAATAAAATAGCTTTGGTAACATTCCATCGCCCCAGACATTTCTGCAGCTCACGACACGCTAACAAACAGATAATTAATTTTCTTAACTGCAGATCATAAACAATGACAACTTCGATGGAGTTTCCATTAACATACAGCAGGACCTCGAGGATATCCCCAACGGTTAGGGGGAAAAGAAGCGGAACGAAATGCACTGCTATTCGACTATGCCGCTATTCGGTTGTGCCGCTACTCCTCTTAGGGACTGGTCCGGTCCCCGGTCATCTTTCACCTCCGCGCAACGCATTCCCAATGCCCCTTCGTAGTTGTCATCAAAGCGGAGTCGTGAAAAATCCCCTTGGAAAGCACCTTAACTTGGAAGACCATAAATCGAGCAAATTTGTTCAAAAAATGTTATCGCAATTGTTTATTTTATTTTTTTTTATGCATAACCAATTGTTTTTTTGTCTTTACCAGCACGATGGTGTATGAGTAGCCCACTTTTGTATCCCTACCTGTGCAGACACCGCCTCGCTTCCATATTGCCATGTTTAAATGTTTACTCAACCAAGGCACGATTCAAAGCATGCGTGTGCCTATTCCCATGGAGGCCTTTCATTGTGAGAGCGGTTCACCAATCCGTTCCGACTTCTTTCACGATGCTGAAAGTTGATACCCGAATGAGCGTCTTCCTGAATACGTAATGTAGCCGCACTTGTTCTTTTAAAAAATTCTCACTCTATTTACGAAATCCATAAAAATAACCTTGTGATGATGTGAAAACGGGAGATAGTGCTTCCTTTGTTGGAAGCAATTTCTTTTTGTTGTTTTCTTTTCCCTTTTTTTGGCACGCTTGCTCATCCCCCCTTTTGCATAATACGCGTTATGTCACCCCTGGGCTGAAGTGGCCTGACAGACAAACAAAAAGGATAAATTTTTTTTTCGTAGGTTCGCGCATAGGGGCAGCGCAACATGGGGCCATTGGCCATCGGTACACGCTACCAACAAGGGCGGAAATGCAAAACTGATTAGCGGATTGGCAGGTTAACCATATTGGCAGATTAGTAGATTATCGGGTTAGGGAACTGGCAGACTCGCCGCCTACCCCTGTTGCTCGCGGTGCGTTTTACTTCCCCCCCGCGAGATGTCGATACGCTTGCCCACAGTAATCGCACTGACCTCCCACTGGGGGTGGCAAAATCTTCAAACCGTTCTACAACAAAATGTTACGATTGCGGAGGGGCAAAGATGGGCGGCAAAAATACGTGCCGCAGAATGGTAGAGCGAAAGAAGTTTGAAGCGTTATTTAAAAAAGAAAAAAAAAGGAAAAAAGGAGATCATCACTCCATTGCGACAAATATTCCGCTGTGTGGTTATTTTTCCTCCCTTTGGAGTATTGTTGCGTTTATTATTTTTTCTTCACCTCCCCCATTTTATTGTAAATATAATATTACCATTCCTGTTCCCATCTGTTCCACTCGCTCCACTTGTTTTCCATTTGTATAATTTCCCCTCCCGTCTTCGCGATTCGTCTATTACTCCCCTTCTTTTGTGCCGACTCCAATACGAAAAGATGGAAGAAGAGGACACCAGCAGCGACGGAGTGAACAAGCAGATCCTCATCCAGTTTGTGAACCACGAAAACAAGTCAACCGGCCCAGTAATCAACGTACCGCTGAGCATAACAAAGGATAACTTGGATCAGCTCATAAATGATTTGAACAGAGAAAATGATGGCTCCATTGAAGAGGATGACCACCAAAATCTGAACTATTCCTTTATGATTAATGACAAGTTGGCAATAAAAAATAATTTGTATGACACCATAAAGCATAATACTATAAGTAGTGAAGATATTTTACGTATAAAATATTTCCCTTTAAATATTTTTAAAATTAAGAGAATTACGACATGTAATTCTACCTTACCTGGTCATACGAATTCAATTCTCTGTTTAGCATTCAGTCCAAATAGCTCCCATCTGGCTTCCGGCGCAGGGGACAACACAGTTCGGCTGTGGGACATCAACACGCAAACACCAATCGTCACGTTAAAAGATCACACAAACTGGGTCTTATCTGTTCTGTTTTCTCCAGATAATCAATTCCTAGCGACAGCGGGTATGGACCAAAATGTCTTTATATACGAAACGCACACAGGAAAATTAGTAAATAAATTAAGTGGACATAAAAAGGAAGTTACAACGTTATGCTTTGAGCCCCTTCACTTGCTTAACAGAAGCTCCATACAGAAAAGTGCGGATGAGGTTAAGAAGAGGAAAAGGGAAAACGAAAAAGGAAAGGAGAAAAGCAATGGGGCCAAAAAGGGAAAATCCGACGCAGAAACGGAATTGGGGACCTCTTCTGGTGGGTCCCCAAATGGAGAGAGCGAAGCGCCAAGTGGGGAAGCGAAAGAAAATGAAAGGAAAAATGGGGACGGAAGTAAGGTGAGCGGTGATCAATACAACCCAAATAGTGACAACCAGGAAAGAAGTCCTCCAAAAGGTCCCCCTCACAAAAGTGCGTACTTCCTAAAATGCAGACTCGCCAGCGCAGGCAAAGATGGCTGCATCCGAATCAACAACGTGCTGAGCAACTGCGTGGAGAAGGTACTCACCGGACATACAAACACAATCACGTGCATACTATGGTCTGGCACGGACGAGCAGCATAGCAGAATCTACAGCAGCTCCAGAGACACCACCATCAAAGTATGGAACCCCAACGAAGGCACTCTTCTTCACAATTTTAAGGGACACAAACACTGGGTTAATTGCCTCTCTATAAACACAGAACGGATAATCAAAAATGGCATCTACAACCTGGACCTTATCATAAACAAAATACATATAGAAAATCATATCGAAAAATCAAGAAAAATCTTTAAAAATTTTCTCCAAAGCATAAAGAATGAAAAACTAGTAAGTGGATCAGACGATGGGACTCTTTACCTTATTGATTGTCTGCCAAATGATGAGTTCAAATCCACCAGATTAATAGGTCACCAGAAGACAGTTATACATGCACAGTTTTCTCCCGATGGGAAGTTCATTGCTTCCTGCTCGTTCGATAATACGGTTAGAATGTGGTCCGCAAGTGATGGTCAATTTTTAGCCACATATCGCGGCCATGTTGGGCCCGTCTACAAAGTCGTGTGGTCCATTGATAACAACTACGTCGTTTCGTGCAGCCAAGATAGCACCTTGAAATTGTGGAAGGTCAGCCACCTCCTTTCGCAGTTAAAAAAGAGGAAGGTAACTCCCTCAGGGGAAGAAGAAGCAACTCTCTCAACTAATGGGACTTCCAACGATCAGGAAGGGAAAAGCGATTCGAAGCACCAAAATGGGAAGGATTACCCTAACGGGAAAAGCACCAAAAAGGTGAAAACGCTGCTTGTGGATCTTCCGGGGCACTCAGACGCTGTGTACGCCATCGACTGGTCGAATGATGGCAAGTATGTCGCCTCCGGAGGGAAAGACAAGCTTTTGAAGATATGGTCCTACTGACCTTTGCTTGGTTTGCTCTGTCGCTCTGAAAATATTGTTCTAGTCTTTCTTCCTGCGCAAGCGTATGATTATTTGTATATACTTATGAGTACAATGTGCTCATGTATATTTTCTCTTGTCTGTTAGCCCGCATCGCCGCGGCTCCCCATTTGCTCAACTTTGCAATGGCATGATCTCCACATTTTTTAAGTAACCACTGAGCGAATACGCTTCAAGTGTGCGATCCCGGGGGGGGAGGGGGAAGAATGCACCCATGTGTAGACTTATGTCTGGGGATCCATACATCTGTCTATCTACCCGTTTGTGGCAAAAAAAGAAAGAAAAAAAAAAGAAGGAAACGAAACGGAGCTACCCCCCTGAAATTTCCTATCATAACATCCTTTCCTCCAAATCTTTGTATTCATCGAACAGGCTGACCAACAGCTGCAGGTGCTTTCTGGGAGAGGCGCAAAGGAAACACATTTCGTTCACGAGCGGGTTCCCTCCGTGTCGAAAATGGGAAAGGAAGAACAACCCCCCCATCAATGCACAAATTATCTACACAGACAGGCGATACGCAGCTGGAAAACGGCACATGCGTCAATCATATTAGTAGCGCCTCAATTTTGTGCAAATAATAATCAGGTGGCTTCCCACCATTGAGTACTTTTCAATTTCCATCAAAGCGTCCATCCTTTTCTCCATGGTCGATCCATTGTGGTCCATGTCCTGCTTAGTCAAACGTTTCGAAACGAAATCTCAGGTTTCGCTTGATCTAACTTGTTATAAAATATAGCTATAAGAAAAAGGAGTAAGAAAACCTTCTTAACACTCTCTTTAGCTTTCCCCTATTCGTCAGGTAATCCTTACCTTGTCGACTTTGCTCTTCTCGTGGGCTCCTTTGTCTGCGTCGTCATCACGTTTACGGGAATGATCGATAACAAGTGAGTTCCTCGCGGGTACATACACAAATAGCGACATATACATATGTACTTCCCTGCGTACCCACACCGGGTCGCCAATATATCTAAGCTGCTGCAAAACAGATGACTTCTAACCCGCCGTGTCCTCATTCCACACCCGCCCCTCCCTACAGCAGTCCAATTTCCCTTTAATTGTTTTCACTTGCTGAAGGTAAAATCTGAAAATGCCAAAATGGGACAAAACAGAAAACCGATTTGGTTTCCTATTTGTCTATTTTTTTTTCTCCAAATGGAGGATGCACGCAATCGAGGAGATTCTCTTATGATCACACCGCTTTGCCCTTTCCTGACACGGAAGCAACGCACAACATGACGGGTTATATGTCCCCAACTATGTGATGCACACATTGCACATATTTTCTAGACCTGTCGTAGGTAGTCAATGGTTTCGTCGCTTCGTTCTTCTGGTCTGTCCGTGGAAAAATAGGTAAATCATTTCTCCACTATTGTCCAAATTATCGGCTACTAATCAAATGAGTAGTTTCCGAGTGGCACAAAAAACGAGACAGTCTCTGTCTCTGGGTATACGTTTCTTCTTGGAAGGAGGGTCCTTCTTCCCCGTATGTTTTCTGCGTTGAAAAGGTAACCAAGTGAATTATTTGGATAAACATATTTTCTTCTTTTAACTTGGGATGAAAATAAAAAGAAGACTTAAATGAACGCTCTCTTTAATAGTGAAAAGCTGGGCATATATCGACTTTTTTTTTTTCTTCTTAATCTCACCCTGCTTGTCCCTTCACCCAAGCATTAATTTTATCCCCTCCTTGTTTTTTCTTGTTTGAATGAATTGTCTCTATGATGTTCTGGGGTAATGAATGTAGAGCACATCGTCAACGATTAGAAGCCAACGGGATGTTAAAAGAAAAAAAATTCACTCATGGGAAAGAATTCTTACTGATATATCTCTAAAAGTTGAATGAATGTTTGGTTTTATTTTCCCGCCATCCCAGGTGGAGGTATCCTAATCAGCACAGAATAGTAACGGAGAGAATAAAAAATAAAAAGTGTGTCTTTAACTTTTCCAAAAATGGCAACATCGGAGTTGCAAAGTGATAGATATGCATGTGTATACCCCCTTGTGCTTACTTCTTCATAGTCGTAGTTTTCCTCACTGCAAAAACAGGGCTTCCCCGTTTCGCAAATGTAGCAGTATTTGTATACTACCATCCCTGCGTTGCTTTTCTGCAAAAGGGGGAGCAAATGTTTGCAATTTTATGAAGAAAAAAAAAGACCTCTCCCTTTGGATCATTCGTTACGTGAGCGTTAAATGGGATTCGTCCGACGGAACGGATATTTTTTTTTTTTTTCTTCCTCTTTTTTCAAGCGCACCGGCTCGTCCGGGCAGACAAGGGACAATTCCAAATCTTCACTCGCCACACACTTTTCTTCTTGCGAAATTGCGTACGTCTTCCTTTCCCAGTTTTCATTTCTGCTACTTGGATGCCCTCGACGAGGCGCGTCATTAAATTGGTCAACATTGCTAATGTGCTGGTGTGCAAAGGCCTCACGGGGACAAAGTGAGAAGCTCCGACTGCTCCTGCCTTGCAGAGCAGTTCTATTGTGGGGGGTTGATATGTCTTCCCTTCCTTGGTCCTTTATCTTTTCCTCTCTTGAATCCCTTATCCTGTCCTTTTTTTGATCTTTTATCTTCTCCTTTCCCCTTTTCTTAAATTCACAGTTTTCACTTTTTGGGAGCGTCTTATTGACGCCGAGGGGGTGTTTACTAAAAACCGCCTCTTTGATTCTCTCTGTTGATACAGGAAGCAGAATAAAAGATGGGCAACCTTTTGGGGGAGACAAACTTACTGGGGTGAGGGGGGGGATGAAGGACTATACCCATGTGTACGGCACATAAAACGAGAAAAGAAAAAACACGTAATTTACTATATTCCAGTAGCGGGTTCATCCCTTCAATTTATTATTTTTTTTTTCTTTTCATCTGGATTGTTTTAATATGCTCCGGTGCACCTCCCTACACATCTACAAAAAAAAGGAAAACGAAGGGGAAAAAGTGACCACACTTTTGCGCCACGTCGTGAAGCTTCTCATATAGACACTGCTTAACTAACCCTCGTTAAAGGAGCTGCTTCATAGAAGTGGTGGAATAAATTTCCTTGTTGACAGATTAGAGGAAACTATATGGGGGAAAACCGTGCCAGGGTGGAGGATGCGTAGAGCTAAAATTTACAGCCAAAAAGAGGTTCATTTCTGCCACGTCCTCCACATCTGCCGCGAAACGATTAAATGTATGCCTGGCAAAAAGCAGCATTCGCGTGCATAGATATACACATTCAAAGTGGCTTCTTCTAATTTCGCAAAATTGGCATGTTCTGCTTTTCGACAACCCCTACCCATCCGCCTCACTTGTCCGATAATTACAGACGAACTGGTTACAAGATGACAAGTTTTTTTTTCTTCCCAATATTTTTATTCCATTCACACATAAGGCACTGAATATGGGAAAAGAGAGGGGGAAGTAATATCCGTTCCAGGTCCAGTTTTCCTTTCAAAACTTGCGAGAACAAAAATGAACCTTCCACGTCGTTCCCCTACAGGGTTATTATTCATTCGTCTATTTGTCTATACATTCATTTGTTTGTTTTTTTCTTTTTCTTTTTTTTTTTTCTTTTTTTGTCACGTGGTTTTTTTTTTCTGTAGGGTGATGACTCTCATTCGTATAAAACAAAAAAAAATTTTTTTTTTTCCTTTACAAACACGGATTTATTTTTTTTTTTTTTTTTTTCACAACGCGTTCTTCATTCGGGACATGAGAACTTGTTTAGCATGAAGTGTTTCTTTCTCTTCCTCCCCACCACCGTTGAAATTCTTTCCATTCTGTCGTACTAGTGCTTCATTGTTCCCATTTTGGCCCATTTTTTGGTGGCCTATTTTATTCTCCCCCCATTTTGAAGGAGAGGCACACGTAAAGGGAGCCTTCCCCGCTTCAACGATTTGCGCAGTTTCCCTTCTCTGTTGGTATTCTTGGCCTAGCAAAAACCAACACTTGGCTGCTCAACACGTGTTGATTCGTCACATCCATTACGTCCATGTGGCATGTCCAGTCCCTTTGATTATTGGGGGCATGCTTTCCTCTCAATAGAATTTGAGTAAGCCAGCCCCCTGGTCCCCCTATGGGAGCCCTCGTCAGAGGAAAGAAACAGGGCATCTACCTTGGCAGCAGCACGAGAAGTAGTAAATAACAGACCCATGACGCTCTCCCCCCTTTTAGCAAAATGATAAGCAACGAACTGCACTACCTCAAATACATCGTCGGCGACATTTTTGGACAATGCTGCAGCGAGATCGTTGAGCTGATTCTGCTCTATGGAAATAAACTGACAATTAATGAAATTATAAACTTGTCGAATTACGAATTCAGCATCGTGAGGAACATTTTACTTTGCCTGCTCATCCACAACATCGTGGACATTCGGATTATTTACGACAAGTCTCATGAATGCAGTCACGCGCCATCGGACGGGAAGACGGTCCCTCTTCTGCCAGACGAAAGGGGGGAACGCCGTGCCAGGGCGCCGGTGGAAGAAACTATAAAGGTGGTGCAAGAGTTGGGCGCCACAGCACCTATAGAAGTAGTCAAAGGGGACCAAGCTGGCGAAGCAATCGACGCAGCCGAAGAAGAGGAGGGGGGGCCACCCCAAAATGGTCCCCCTACGGGCTATGCTGATGACGAGGAAGAGGACAACGAAGGGGATGACACAGAGGAGGACGACGCCCTGGCGGAACGACGCAGCAAAAGAAACCTGAGGGAAGAAATGCACTTCTTGACTTACCACGGAAGCTACAAGTACATGAAGGGCTGTAGCTGTGCCTCCTGCATTTGCAAAATTAGGAGGGTGGAGTACTGGGTCGTCGTTAATAATATTTACTCCCTTGTCAGATACTCGTCCATATTTTACTACATGCACCAGACCCGTGTTAAAAGTGGAAGCACTGATGACCTGCCAGAGTACTCCCCCTTCTGTGGCACCTCCCCTGCAGTGGACTCAATCCCTACCGCTGCTGCAGGTAAGAATAAGGGTAAAAATGTGACCACGCCAAACGATGCTCTTCTCCCCTCCGCGGGAATGCATAGTATTATGAGTTACAACTTCTTCACGTCAGACAGGATACACGATTATAGCAGTAGTACTCTCCAAGAAGAGGAGGACAACAATGCCGAAGAGGTATCTTCCAAAAGGGACATTATTCACTTCATCGAAAAGGTTATCCTCTTAAGAGTAATTAAGAATGGAAGAATCACAATCGACGCGTGTGTAAAAAATTTGGAGCAAGACGATTACGTAGAAGTGTGTAAAAAGGAAATCCCAAATATAAAGAAAAAAAAACTAAAACTCATCTTCCTTCAGTTGTTAAAAAGGAAATATATAAAAAAGTGTAAATATTTTAATGAGCATGCATGTGAAAATGACACAACTGATAAGGACCTTACCAGAAAGTATGATCAGTCGATAAATTATATCAACGGGAGCGTGGACCCGGCCCCGTACGCGGATAACTATGACGCTGTATATCACCCCAATGGAAGTAATCACGTGGGCACTAACAAAGTGGAGGCAAATGTCCAAAAAACCAACCCAGCCTCTTATGGCAAGGCTAAAACGCGCACTGATCATACGGTTCACCCCAACCACGAAGAGATCAACCGAACAAGCAGCCTTTTAAACCCCACTGAGCTTGACAGGAACAACCAACACTCCAAGGAGTCACTCAACGGCTCCAATGATAGTTTCCTCTTCGCGCCAGCCGACAATGTGAATAGCATGAACGGATATAATCCAGCAACCAACGCGTTCCAAAATGATAGCAAGAAACACGGCGCGAAAATTACGAGAGGTGTGCTGAGCCTGGTTGACAATGCCAAACGGAGGAAGACAACAGAGAATGAATCGGGGGGAAATCACAATTGTAGAAATTTTACAAACAATGATACCTTCGATGGGAATATATTCTCCATAATTGGAGAAAGGGACAGAACTTCGGACCCCCTCGGTAGTAGTAGCCACCTCAACGAGGATAATAACAGCGTTATAAGTAGTGCTTACCCAGGGGGAACTTCCTATCCAGGAAGTAGCTCATACTTGAGGGGAGAGGGAAGTCACTATCCAGGGAGCGACACCCCCTTCGATCGCTCCAACATGATGAATGTTCAAGAGACAGACAGGAAGAATCACACAGAGATATCTAGTGAAAACCAGTACGAATATTTCAACCCCAACAAAAACACATCAGATAGGGATACAAATAAGGATAACATGCAGAGTGACCTCCTGGACTATCTGGACAACCGATTTACATACTTCCAAGCAAACAACGAAGTTCTGACCATCCTGTACCTAAAGCAAGAGTGTTTTAACTTCATAACACACTATTACAATTTTAACGAAGTCGAAAAAGGAATCTTTTTTTTTTTATTAAAAAATGTTCAGCTCAGTTACTCTGTTGAAGAAAATAATTACAAGTACACTCCCTCATTTTGTACTTTTGAAAATGTCCAAAAGTACGTAATAACCAATTTTAAGAAGAAAAATATCTATATGGATAGAAATGTCGTCTTAGAAAATTTAAACAACTTAATCAAATATCCAGACGAGTTGGTAAGAACAGAATGTAATGAAATGATAACTTACGCTGCCGATTTTTCCAATATTAAAAATATTTACAAAAAAAAAATTACAACAAATATTATAGAAAATATGAACGGGTCAGGCGCTTTACGCATTTGGAACTTTCTCATATCCACACCTGAACAAAAAGTTAATGATGAAGTGATAAGTGAAAATGTTTTAATCCCACTGAATGATGTGAGAAAGAAATTGTATAATCTGCTGTATCATGGGTACATCAAATGTCATGAATGTAACAACAGTAACGTTAACAAAACGTACATTAAGCATTCCTTGTCCTTCTCCACGAACGTGTATTACACAAGCAATAAAATAAAGGAAAATTTATTTACCATCGCGAAAAATATTTACATACGGAAGCTCCACGAGAATAATGAAATAAACACGCTGCACAATAAGTCCAACATTTGTGCGAACGAGGTGGGCAAGGACCCCCCTCCAGAACTGCGTACTGGCCAGGGCACCCCCTCCGGACAGAACGTATTCACCAACCAGAGCTCCAACAAAGCGAGCAGAAGCCATCAGAATAAAAAAGAAATCAGCTTGACGTCACGCGAGTATGCCGTGGACTACCTAGAGATAAGCTTAATTAACCTCGACAAGCTAATTTTTATATTTAACTCGTAGCACCGCCATCGCGTGGAAACGCCCCGAGTTTGAATCCCCTTCCGATTTGTGCCGCGTGAGCGGCGGTGGAGGATACGAAGTTGCGACCCACCTAATTTCGCACCCTCCTAGCTGCCAAATTTCCCCCAGTGGAACTTCCTCCCCCCGTGTGTATATCTCCTCCCCGAATGTGTTTGCTCCGCTTGGCCGTTTCGCCCATGCGCGATATTTGCTTATACACGCATGTACGGACGCATGTACACTTCCTTATACGCAGAGGTAACTTTTTTTTTGTCGAAAATGTGATCGTAAATATTTCGCTATGAAGGTGCCTGCCGCTTTGCCCTCTACACGCGCTCCCCTCAGGAGACGCACCTCTGCGTGCGTAACAAAATTGATAAATAAAGGCATGCCCCGAAGTGTGACGGTACCAATGTTTGCGGCTCGTTCGAACGGCATAACCTCTGTTCATACATACGAGCATGCCCAACGCAAGGCTCAAAAAAAAAAAAAAAAAGGACACGAAAAAAATGAACAGGTATGTGTATATCCATTGGCGTAAATCCCACTTGTTACACCTTCTGAAAAATGCAAACAATTCTGCTGAACATGCCGGGCTCCTTCTTCCTCCCACTTGGGCCTTCTTCCGCGTTGGCGTCAAAAATCGTGCGTTCAACGAGATTCATCCTACTGCTATTTTGATACGCCCCCCGAGCAATGGCATCGAAATTTTTATAACTGAGCTTTGTCTCGTGTGTGTAATAATCCCTGTCACATTTCTTAACCTTGTATTTTATCTCTTTATGATACTCCAGGACGAAATGCCCTCCTTCTTTTAGAAGACTGTGGACGCGATCGAAAAAGAGAATCACCTGAGCGTCCCCATGGTTCAAATGTATCCACTTCAACACAGAGAAGCAAATAATTACGTCGTACTTGCTGTGCGCGGTTTGGAACACTTTGTCAAAAATGTCCGAGCAGGAGAAATATATATTGAAGGGGAAGACGCGCTCGTGAGTGGAGGCCATTTTTTGGTCGCTCTCGGGTTTTTCCCCTGTGGCTTGGTCTATTTCGCTCCCCGCCGCTTCGTCCATTTTGCCCCCCGCCGCTTCGTCCATTTTGCCCCCCGCCGCTCTGCCCTTTGCCGCTTCCCCTTTTACCGCTTCCCGCAGGAGATGTACCTCGAGGAAGATATCCCTCTGCATTTGCGTCAAGTTACGGCGGCGCAGGAAAAAAGGGACAACATGGTTCTGGCTGTTATATACTAAAACAAATTCGATGAAAGTTCTCAGCAAAGTGACGTTGTTATTAATGAGGTTACAATCAATGTCAATGGCATTGACAACTCGGCACTTATACTTAAGACTAAGCAAAAAGGTGGTTATTCCACAATTGCAGCCAATGTCCAGGATGTCCTTACCATAAAAAATCCCCTTCATCAGATTATTCACGTGGGTTAATCTGTAATCATCGATGATTTGCTTCTTATTCGCATCAGCAACTTCCATCACCTTGCAAATTCGTTCATTCGATTTGCACTGTTTATCTGTTTCTTTCTTCTCTTTGGCCTCTTCATCTTCACCTTGGGTGACAGCTCCACATTGGGGAATTTCCCTACCCTGGGTTACTGCTCCACTTTCGGTGACTGCCCCACCTTGGGAGATTTCGCTACGTTCCGTGACTGCACCACCTTGGGAGATCTCTTCACACTTTTTTTTCCTCTTCCAGTACCTTTCGTAAAAGTAGTTGGGGTAATTCCCATGCAGGTAAATTCCCTGTTTCACCCTCTTCCCCTTCTTCCTTTTGTATATGAGCCTGTCTGGTTGGGTTACACCTGGATGAGTAACCCTAAAATGCCTCTTTAACATCTGCAGTTCTTTCTTTTCCGAGTTGCTAAAAATACAGCTCGTCATTCTGTGGAGCGTCTTCACTTATGTCCACTCCGTGTTTTGCCAATAGGCCGGTTTCCCTTCCCCTGCACTCTCCGTCTCGTCCCAAATAAATGCACACGAAAAGGAGGGACGTTTAGTACGCTCCTTTGTGCCTCATAATGTACTAACAAATTGCTAGCTAGTTATGCCCAAAATGCAGATTTTTTTTTTTTTTTTGATACATATTTTAAAAGGGAAACTGTTCAAGGTGGAAAAAAAAAAGAGAAAACGCTTAAGTGGTGATTTGTTCAATGCGGCACGTGTGTTGAGCGGACGGAAGGGACGCAAGTTTCTGCATACACAAGTGTACATATCAATGCTGATATACTCGCATGCGTACACAGGTGTGTGAGTCCTGCCGATAATTTCGGAGGCTTCACACAAGCACGCTGGAAATGCTCGGTAAAATTAACAGCTGCGAAGGAATACGAGAGGCTGGCAGCCAAGTCATGGACGCATTTTCCTAGGAATTTTTCCAGCACTTCAACTTCGCCCGTTTAAACCTCCAAACGTTTTGACTTCCCAACATATTAACTTCTTCCCCGCTTGAGCTCTCCCCGTGGGCCTTCCAAACCGAGGAGCATAATACCCTATTCTCCGCACTCCACGCCCAATGAATTTTACACAGGTCAGGCAATTTCCTCGTCCCTCCTTTTTTTTTATTCGTTCAACTTTCAGGGAATTTCCGCTTTACTCGTCATGCCTGTTGCCCGCAGGAGGATGCGCGTGAATGTGCGTACCACGTATGTACCTTTGGGCCCCAATGCAATAGTCCCCTCTAGCGGCTCCAAAACATGCTATCGCAGCCAAGCGTGCGCAACCTCCATATGTTATGGAAAAGAGGGTAAAAGGGAAAAACTCTGCGAATTGCAGAAAATAGACTGCTCATCTGAACAGACGGGCAGGGAAAATATATCAGGGGGTACACTAATGCTTAGTTAAAAACTGTACGCATGGCTCCCCCAATTGGGGTGCTCACCCTGACGCGGTAGTGTGCCCTGCTGGCACCAGTCAAAAGAGGTAAATCTCTCTGTGGTCACTACTTGGCTTTTTTTTTTCACGCAGATTAAAGACTGAAAAATGCAAAAGGGAAGAAGAAACAAATCGCGCGAAAAGTGACGCAAAAAAGTACCAGAAAAATACGGACAAGCACACCGCAGAGCACACCGCAAAAGAAGGCGGAAAATTTATCCCCCCCATGGACCTCACCGCGACGCGACACATGACGCAGCACACAGCCCCTGTTGTAGAACGAAACACAATTACCTATTTGCTTCAGCTTCCAAGAGATAACCCCCATCTGTTTTGTCCTTTTTAATAAACACTTAACAGAACAGCCAAACAGTTGTGCCATTCTGTTACGAACAAATCAGCATTCCGCAGTGCACGTATATATTGGCCGTATTTTTCTTTTTTCTCTTTTTTTATTCCCCATTCCGAACCAATTCTTCTCCCAGAACGGTGCCTCAGCGCAATGTTTTTTCATGGAAAAATTCGTTTTATTCATATTTTTAAATAGAAAAAAGAAGTCACACAGCACATTTTAACATTTGTTTTTTTTTTCTTTTTTTTTCCTCACGGAAAGGCATTCAGCATTGTATTTTCCCAATCCATCGCGCTTACTACCACGTCATATGCATAAGCACATACGTACGTATTTATATGCGTGTGTTTTTTCCCCTCCGATTCGTCCCCACTGCCCCTCTCGTTGTTGTATTTTCCCCCGAGACACTGCCTCGCTCGCCAATAAAATGTGCGTCCAGCATTTTCCCCGTCTATCCAATAGTAACTCCTTTTTCCTACAACAGAAAGGGAGAAATTTCGTCGCCTTACACAATTCAGAGATAAGTCATTTCCTAAAAAAGTCTTTCATCTGCAAAGTGCGATTCAATCAGCACCATCCGCGCCGGCAGCTCACTCAATTAAGTAATTGTTCCATTTTAAAAAAAAACGTGAAATATCTGCACAGCGTTCGCTCAACAGATTGCAAAAATGCATTTCTCGAAAAGTGTTTTTTTTTTCCTGACCCCCAAGTATCACTTGCAGACTCAGATAAGAAGCACCATTAAAAAAAAGCAAAACATTTGTTTTATTAAGAGAAAGAAAAGGAAGGAACATCGCAACTATTTTAAGTATGGGATAGCAGCCAATAGGGAAAAGGGCAATTCACAACAGGTTCCGCAGCTGGGGGAAAATTCACAACCGAGGAGCGGTAGACCAGAGGGGAACCAAGTGATTAATCAAAATGAGGAGACTCCTCGACGCACCCTTTTTGGAGAAAACATAACTCAGGGTAGGCACACTGAATGGGGAAGACGCCCCAAAGTTAGCTTATTTCACACGAAGGTAATCAAACAGCGAGGGGGCGCCAACCTGAGGAATGCCCACCTCATGGGTAAAATAATCCGAAGGAGCAGACAGGTCGAAACGTCCATCGAGCAGGGGAGATTCCCCTTCTGTGGGAGAGCTCCTCTCCACCTTGAAAAGAAGACGAAGGCGCATGAACGTGGTCAGGCAGACGGTGAAGACACCTACGCGCAGGAAAAAGGAGCAAGTCGCGAAAATAACCCAAATGATGCGAACCGAAGTGATGCAAATCCAAATGCCGCCAATCCAAATAGGCAGGTGGGAAACCACCAACCCTCCAGTGCACACAATAACGCGGACCATACAAACTCAAGCAGAAAAAACGACAAACTGCTGTCCAAAAAGGGCGACTACTACAGCTGCAAAGATGCTGAAAAACCGTTTGAAGATAAATCCCACGAGAAGGCAGAAATGAATATAAAGAGGCACGACCTCATCTTAGTAGCCCTCTCAGGCTGCATCCCATTCATTTGTTTCGGCTTTGTTGATAACTCCTTTATGATTATTGCAGGGGATTTATTCGATTCTACCTTCTGCGTCTTCCTAGGATTCAGCACCCTCGCTGCAGCAGGATTGGGGAATCTAACCAGTGATGTTTTGGGCATCTTCATTGGAGGCTACATAGAAAAAATCATCGCCTACGTAGGGTTCCCGAGGATAAACCTAACCAATAAACAACTCAAAATGAACAGAACTAGACGCTATTACTACATTGGAAGTGCCATAGGCATTGCCATAGGATGCCTACTCGGCATGATTCCTC